TATAGTATTCATGTATTTATATTTAAATTTGTATTTGATTTAGATAAGTTTTTACTGAGTTATACATATTGAGAAAAATTCCAAATAATTTTGGGTACCACTGTACAGTATATCCATTATTATTTTTTTATCACGTCACGGAAGATCTTTTTTAAAGTTTCATTTAAATATCAATTTTACGCGTCTACTACCATAATAAGACAATCATTCATATAATGATGATACGATCGCTCCTCTATATCTTTTAATAAGTATGCATTAACTTAAATATTTTATACTTTAGCATTGTCTTGGTTGTTTTACGTAACACACGTAGAAACTGCAATCGAAAATTTCAAAATCTCAAAAATCCTATCCTATCCTTTTATCTATTCTTTCGAGTATAAACAAGCATTTTCATACAATATCATCTGGTGTACCGTAGCACGTGTAGAAAAAATCTAGATTTTTTAAAAAAAAAATATCACCCAAAACAAAAACTTTAACGTGCGCCTATTGATGATCAATCAGTCAGTTTTTTCATAGCATATACACGCACAGTACGGACGTAGCTATTATATTCATTCATTTCTTTGACCATGGCCTGTACCATCTTATCATATTCTTCGGAATCTACTCCTAAAATTTCATTCAAACTGGTTTTGAGGTTATTGAATATTCTTATTGTATCATCTATTGCCTGATGAATTAAAAACAATAAATATAATGTTGGTCGGATTGCTTTTTTAAAAAAAATGTTATTATAAGAAAAATCGCTATTTATTTTACCACTTGTCCAAGTTTATTGGTTTTTGTACCCTTAAAAAGCGGCCTTTCTTCAAATATAACATCATCGAGTTGACCTTGTTGTTCACATAAAGAATGTAACTCTTCTGCTACCTTTGGAAAGAAACCTCTCTGCTCAAACATATTTATGACTACAATTTTTAATTAAACGTGTTAATCGAAAATGTGAAAAAAAAAAGAGTTAAATCATTCGTTAACATACGAGCATCTATCATTTTCCTTGAAACCGGGCCAATCCTTTTTGTTTCTGGATCAAATTCCATTAGCTAAATAAGAAAAAGTGATTCTTAACATAATGAGACATTCATCATATACAGCAGAGATATCGTAGTACCTCCAGATAACCGCCAGGTTTTAACACCCTAGTTAATTCATTTATAACATAGGGCCATTTATCCTTAGGAATTCCGGTAATTAACAAACGTTGGAATACATAATCAAAAGAATTATCCGCGAATATCAATCCATCTAGGATATTGCCGAGAAGGAAAGTAACATTACGGGGTTTAATTACTAACGGTTGAACAGGTGAGATGTCCAATCCTATGATTTCAGCATTTTGATAATTTGTCGCAATTTCCAACGCCCAGGTACCGGCACCACATCTTTTTAAGAAAATTTGATTAATACGCCAATCATTTGGAAACAGAGAAAAAGAATCCGTACCCAACGTCAAGAACCTTTGAATCCTCTCTGTCTAAGATATGTTCGACCGGAGCAGAGAAGTTACCTTCCCAAAGATATCTAAGTAAAAAATGTTGAAGATGCAGTCGATCTACTTCTTCGTCATCGCTTGGAAACGGATACTTTGAGTTTTCTATGTTATGGTATTTCCTTCCGTTGACATGACGGAATTTTGGAACTCCAATATTTACATCTTTCTCGATTTTAGGATTTAATTTTGCAAAATAGCTTCCCATGTTTTGGTTCGTTATGGATAGATAAATAATGTCATGACATAAAATATCATACAAATATCTCTGGTTGGATATTATACTGCCTTTAAAAGCAAATTCCGGTTATTGAAATTCGACCAATGAAATTATCACTGTAAACAAAATTCAACGGTTTGTTCATTTTCTCATTGAAAGAATTGCATTATTTAGTAATATCTTGGGAATTGTTTGTGTACATGGTTGGTTTCGGATTTTCGGAAATCCAAAAATTTAAATGGTATTCCGCGAAATGGTCACAATGAAATAACGTGACACGACATGTTAAAAAACCATACAGAAAAAAAAAAACAAATACTTCCAATTATTATTCTTATTCGTGTATATTGATTGGAAAACCGGTAAGTATTCTACAGGGAGGGGGTACTATACACTGCGACGTACAGTAATTCAGTAGATCGATGTTCCATAACATATTATTTGTTGATGTATCGATTTTGATTATTATTTATTCTGTTTATCATAAATGACTTAACTTGTCAGGATATCTATTACTATTAAATAAATTTTCATAATATCGATTAAAAAGTAACTATGCAGTATATATGTATTTGGTTTACTATTTGCAAATAGGAAAAATCCATTTACTGTATGTGTTTTTGATAGTTACAATATTTTATTTAATTATAGTAAAATAATTGAAAAAAGCTTTATCCGTTTTTTCTATTTTCTATTTTCGATTATTTTGAAATTATTATTATTATTCCTATTACTATTATTGTTGTTATTGTCATGACCGATATTAAATAATACATATGACACTTTTCTTATATATATTTTTTTGTAATCTAAGATTTTTTATAACTACGTATATATATATGTTTATAAGTTAGAAAATTTATATAAATTTGTAATTAATAATAATAAATAAATGAAAATATGTCATAAAGCTCTATAATATTCTAGAATGTTTCACAAAAGTCTAAAAAGTTTTAGAAAGTTTTTCAAACTATTCCAAAATGTTTCACAAAAGTCTAAAAAGTTCCAGAGAGTGCTTCAATATTTCAAGCTATTCCAGAATATCCCCGGATTTCTGGTATCACATGTAGCACAATAAAAATGAAAAAATTATTATATTAATTCTTTAAAATATTATAATAAAAAGTGATTTTTAAATAAGTATAATATAATAAATACAATTAATAATAAATAAATAAATAAGATATTTTAAAATGATTTATAATATTTCATTCTTGGTTAGTCCATAATAATCTGAATATTTTGGTTACATAGATAGGAATTCAAAAAAGCAAAAAAAAAAATTGTTACAAATATTTTATAAAAAAAAATTTGATATATTTGTAAATTTGAAAAAAAAAATCTAATTTTTTTTAATGTAAAATATAATTGTAAAGCAGTATCATATATAATTAAAGTAATATACAGTATGTTGTAAGTGATGATAAAAAATTTTTTTGAGATAATTAATGATACTAATAATTCATAATCAAAAATCAATAGTCAAAGAATTAATAGTCAAAGAATTAATAGTCAAAGAATTAATAATCAGGATTTCATAATCAAGGATTAATAATCAAAGGATTGGTAATCAATAATCAATAGTATTTTAATATTTAACATTTTTTAAAAAAAAAGTTACTTGAAAAAAAATATTTTTTTTTTGATGTTGTATGCTAATGGTTTATCTAAAATTATATTCATCGAATATACAGTAAATAAATAAAAGTCGAACCTTTTTTATTCGTATTATGAACCAAGTTATTTAAAGTTTCTCTACTTTTTCACGATGTCTGAATCGTCCTAAATAGTGTGCGTTCTTTCATAGCTCTTGATTTCTTATTTTTTTATGAAATGTGTGATTGGCTGATTAACGATCTGCTTGATAGTTTAGAAAACGTATATAAACTGCTCGAGATCTACGTAAATTTCACGCTTATTCTGTAACGATGGATCAACCACTTTCTGATCAAATTGTTAATGATTCATGCCCATTATTACGTCCAATTCCTCGCCTTCCGACCGAATGTTTGTTACATATTCTCTCTTTCATCTCGGAGGATGACATTGAGACTTTGCATTCGGCAATCTTGGTGAATTGGCAGTGGTGCTACAATATCGCGCCCATCCTATGGAAAAAGCCCTTCGCTGTTAAGGCGACGAACCCATCATTGTCAAAGTTCTCAAAAATAATACCTATCTATCTCAATTCGTTGAATGCGGATTTGGTATCGGTTGAATTTAAGGAAAGGTTTTTTCCCTTTTTCGATAATGAAATCAAGAAACCATTCTTTAATTATCCCTCATTCTTGCGCGAGTTAGATTTTAAAAAGTTGTACGATGCGATTTCAGAGTCGTCAGCCGAGATTTTCCTAACCAACAGCAGATTGGAAATTGAATTTGAGTTAATCAGATCGTCGTTCGCGGAAGTCAGAGAACCAGAGAAACACGAGGTGATGGCGGTGGAAAATATTGAGGTAACAAATGATACGGTTCCAGCCGAATCAGAAGTAGATTATGAAGAATGCGATGGTCACGAATCTCAATACGATGATGATTCCAATCAATTCGAAATTGGGAGTGAACAGGAGTATGGCGAAATTGAAAATCACGAGGAGATACCATTCGTGACAACCTCAGAAGGTCGTAAGCTTTTGATCGCAAAAGAAATTAGCCAAATGTTCATGAGAGAATGTCAAGTTTTTGACAAACTTACCATAGACATTCGAGGTTTTCCACGGATCTTTTCTTTCCAATTGCTAGATTATATATCACTTCCTTGTTTCCCAGGTGCATCAAACTGTCTTCAGAAAATCACAGATTTGGCGTGTGGCGGCGAATTCTTCAAGGATGAAATATTTAACGCTTTGGCATTGTGTTGCCATGAATTATATTCTATATCGATCGTAGATACCTTTTATTCTGCAACAAATGCCCTAGCAAATCTAATATCCGTCCAAAGAAATCTACGGAGATTTAGTTGGGTTGGAGGCTACGGTGATCTGACGCCTGTCGTTTTGACGTTATCAAGTCAATTCAATAATCTTAAGGAAGTTCACTTGGAAAAGGGATTCTTCCGTGATGCCTCTGCACTTGGAGGGCTGTCAGATTGCAAGAATTTGGAAGCACTTAGTATTGCCGAATGTCATCTCACCTCCTCCCACGTTCGACCTTTAGTTGACGCAAATTTTCAGCAACTCAAGTCACTGGAAATCACCAACAACCATTATCCATACGATGAGATGGATGAGGAAGAATTTGATCCGCCATCAGAAGAGTTATCCACAATAATTCGAAACGCCAATCGTCAGCTTCTAGTGATTCGACTAAATTTAGAACTGTATATCTATCCCGGAATCATAGAAACCATCGGTCTATACTGTCCAAACCTGAAAACCCTTTCGGTCAACATAAAAACTGATGAACAAGCTCTCGAGTTAATCACTTTGTTAAGATCATGTCGCGAACTTGAGAGTTTGATAATTTGTGGATACTCTTGGAATACGTTCTCACCGGCCGATCATATATTACCTGAAATTGGAATGATATTACCGGAAACATTGACACATCTAGATCTAACCAAATGGGTATTTGAAGTAGAGGAACTAAAACAATTCCTTAAAAATTGCAAGGCAACACTGAAATATATGGAATGGCACTGTTTTGCGTATCATGAGGAACACAAGTTGACGATATTAGATTATGCACAGAGTAGAGGTATTGAGGTTGAGAACTTTCAGATGAAAATGCACGATACTGGGTATGGATGGAAGCGATATATTGGTCACATCTCAGTAAAGTTTGGTGAAAGAAATACGTGCTGAAATAGTATGCACCGAATATTCAACAGGTCGTTCTAAAGGAGAACATAATCTACTTTCAGATTGTGAAGATCAGGATTATGAAATAATCAGCTTCGTTAATATTTATGGACGAATTTATAAATTTTTGCAAATAAAACAATTATATATATACAATGTTAAATCTTTAGTAAACAGCAAATACGATCACTTAAATGGCGACTTTTATTAAGAATCTAATAATTTTACAATAAATAATGTAATCTAGAAATAAGATTTTCCCTATACAGCTTCACTTTTGTACCTTGGAGCTACTTGTACGCATAAATTTCTTGAGAACAGAAAATGTGTAACTTACGGTTGGTAAACAATGCAATAAGGCGGATTAAATTTTAACGAAAGCTATTTTAATTAAAATATAGTCGATAATTTGGAGGCTCACTGAAACTCTATTAGAAAATTGAAACGGTAAATATATATAATTCAGCGAACCTTAATAATATCATTTTTTTTCCAAGTTAACATTGACTTAATAACAGCTCCCGTTTATCGTTTCCCTAGTAATACCTTCATTCGTCCAAAATAACCTGGTAATAAAAAAATTTTTTGCATGGTTGTATGCAATATGAGGGGATAATCCATACCTTTTGTTTGTCACCACCAGCAACGCGATTAGCAAGTTTATACAATTATAATCTTGATATATAGATATCAAGATAAAAAGAATAAGTCTTTATTAAGTAACCATATTATCAATTCTTACTATTGATGTTTTGGTCACTTGTGGAATCGTGCCAAACTTATTACTAATTATCATTCTAAAGTTAAAAATTTATTTTTTTGCATTACATCGATGTAATAAAAATCATCTGATTGTAAGAAAATGAATATAAGAATCATCTTAGTCGTATCAAAATCATTGCCTCTATTAAAAATACAGTATATAAATTATTACAAAATATATTACCATTTTTGTTACCTTCAAAAAGAATCACCTATATTATAAAGTTTCGCAGATATGGAAGAACAAATATTTTAAACACCTTTTCTCCACAATCAAGGTTAACAGGAAAGTATATTGGTTATTATATTGATTTTTCTAATCTACTGTATATTTAATTTAATTAATAATTTGTAAAGTAGAAAATCATAATTAATATAATCTCCGAATTTCAATAGCATAAATAAATAATCTTATCTAACAAAAGTTAATTTTTTTGATTAAAAATAAAAAATATCAATAATAATATCAAAATATTTGAAAAAATTGTTAAGAAAATCTTTTCAATACACAAATCTTTTTAAATAATTATACTTTCTGCTTAAAAAACTTTTTTTTATTTCAAAAAACCAGATTTTATATCAAAATTGTTTATATTGTTGACTTGGAGTACCAACAATATATTCAATATTCACTTCTTACTATTGCTTAGCATACTTTGCTATATCACCAAAAACCAAAAAATTTACTCAAAAAAACTTTTATCAAAAAATTGCAATTAGTTTACTTTTGTCAATTAATTAATATTTCAAACTTAACTAATTATAAATACTACCAATTTTTTAAACAAATACATATAACCAAAACACTATATTTTGATTAATATAAACAAAACCTTTTATGTTAATAACAATCAAAACAAAATCATATTGCCAATAAACAAACCAATCACAAACCATATTACTACAATAACAATACTACCATCATGACTAATAACCTATCAAAAAAATATATCACTAATATTATTATATATTTTAAACAGTAGCTTAATCCTTTCTGAAAGTGCAATCATCATATTTTAGTTAAATGGAACTATCAATGTGATATGTTTAATGATATTATCCAAAAAATTTATAGCTTTACAATTAGTTTTGTTGTATTTATTTTTTTGTTTAATATTTTCTTCTTTTCTTTAATTTTCAATTTTTTATAATTTTATATATAAACTTGAGTAGATATTTATAGTTACTTGGCACTATTTAGAATATATATCAGTTTTAATATTTATTTTTCATATTGCTTAGATAGTTTTTGTAAACAATTTAGCATTAAACTTACTGATCAATTAATTATATGAGAAATATTGTCACTTTCTATATGTAAAATAATTTAAAATTTTTATGATAATAAAGAGATAATTTTTATCTACTTTAAAAAAATATATTATTATTATAAATATTTTTATTTTTGCTATTTTATAATGTTTTCTTTATTATCTTAATTGAAATTAATTTATTTGACATAATGTTACTTGTCAATTATTTATTATTAAAATAATTTAATTAATCAATTAATTTATATAGCTTTATTTTTAATTATAAATTAATATACAGTGCTGGCCATAAATAATGGGAATTTTAATTTTCTAATTTTAAAGATTTTTTGCGTCACGATTATCAATCTGTATCACTATAATTTTTTTTCTTTTTTAGCTTACGTCTTCTCATTTATTAAAAAAAATTTTTTTTGTGTATTACATATTACTATAACAGTAAGATCATCATTAGAAATGGAAGATAATTCTCTCGCTTATTAAAAAAGCATCATCCAAGCATTGTGGCATACCAATAAACGAAACCCTACCTCTCTAATAAAAAAAACTGGTTTTCCTAAAACAACCATGTATAACTATATAAAAAAATTAAAAAAAAAAGATAATTTAAACCTCCTACCTCGTCCAGGACAACATCTCAAGTTGTCTTTCAAGGAACTCAAGAATCTTAATAAATTCGTTCAGAAGAATTCAGAAATTTCTGTCAAAGAACTTGCATCTAAATTGAACACTAGTAATCCAAACCTAAAAATATCAGTGAGAACTATTAATAGGGTGCTTGCAAACCACGAGTGGATAGTTACAATCCCTAAACGGGTCCCTTTTCTTACCGAAAAACACAAAAATCGTCATTTAAAATGGGCCAAAGCTCATGTTAATCAAAAATGAAGCTGAGTAGTTTTTTCTGATGAATCTATCTTCCAGATGTTCCGTAATACAACCCAAGTTCGTTATATGACTGATACAGAATGGCCACAATGTCCTATAGTTAAGCACCCGTACAAGGTTCACGTGTGGGGTGCATTTTCAATGAGAGGTACTGTTGGTTTTCATGTGTTTATTCAAAATATGGATGGGGAGTTATACCGTCAAATTTTCGCGGATAATCTTGCTAACATACAGACTGTAATGGGTCATGATTGGATTCTTCAACAGGATAATGACCCTAAACACACAGCAAAGGCAACAAAGTAATTTCTAACCGATTCTCATATAAGGATTTTAGACTGGCCATCAAACTTGTCAAATCTTAACCCTATCGAAAATCTGTGAGTAATTTTAAAAAAAAAAGTAGAAAAAAAGGTTAATAAGAAGATGCGAAAAAAAAAATTTATTACATCTACCAAGTTTAAAGAATTAATTAGATCAGAATGGGCAGGTCTTGAAAAAAGTATGCTGATCAGATTAATAAAAAGCATACCTCATCGTTTGGAAGAGTTGGAGACCGAAAATGGGTATAAAATAAATTACTAAAAAAAAATATTAGTTAGTATATTAGTTTAGCTATTTTTTTTTTTTTTTTTATGTAATAAATATTTTTTTTTAAATAAATAAAAATAAATTTACAATTTCTATTATTTATGGCTACTACTGTATAATTTACAATTTGTTACAAAAGTCTTTAAAAAGATATAGAAAAAAAGCATAAATTTGAAAAGTTATATGATTTGAGATAAAAATAATATTTTTTGTAATTGTAATATAATCAATGCATCATTTCATATAAAATTTTTTTTAAAAAAGTTAAAAATATAATGATTTTATTAAAAAAAATTTAATACACAATTCTATTACTATTTGACTTGATAATAGGCTTATATCTTTTTTATATTGACTATATTAAATTATTGATTATACTTTGAGATATTTTTATATATTTTTCCTTTATAAACCATTCTAACTTATAAGTGTTATTAAGTTATCAAATTTTCATATTCTTCTTAACAATTGCTTATAGATTTTCTATAGATTCAAATTAAAACTGTTTGACAGCCAATCTATAATAGTAAGTATTTTTTTTAAAAAAATCTTTTTTACCTAACTTATATACTTAGAATTGTTATCTTGTTAAAGATATTAACAAATACTTAGCATGTTCTTGATCTGAAAAATATGTTTTTTTATAATATTAATATAAACTTTCACTGTTATTATCTTATAAAAATAATAAAAATTTGTTTTTTTCTAATACAAAACCTACTATAAGTATTAATTATTGATTAATCCTTTGAAATATGATATATTAGGGATTTATTCTTATACTGCATAATATTAAAAAAAAGTCAAATAATGTTTCATTTAAAAAAATTATATAATTCCAATTATTATAAATATAATCCCAAGCCTATTCTATATACCTATGTATCTGTAATCTTGTTATTATTGATATCAAAATAAGAAATATCTTATATAATCTATAATTATACAAATGCTGCCAAATTGTATTATGGGATATACTTGTTTTTTTAAAAAATACTTTATTTACTAATTTTCTAATAAAAACTGTTGAATTTTTTTTAATAATCAAATCAAACAATCTTGAAACAGCCCAATTAATTATTTTTAAATAACTTGATTATTTCTAATAAGTTGTAATTTTACTTTTGTACAAATTTGCCAAGTTATAAAAAATAGTTAACCTAGATATTTTTATAATCTTTTGTATTTCAGCTATTTTTCTTATCTCCTGTCTCCATAAAATTAATTGAATTTCGATATACAGTATATATTTTTTGTGATAGTTAATATTGCTCAATAATTAAAAAATATTTATATATATATAGAAAGTCAGTGATATTGTAATAGGTAACAAATAATATAAAGTTGTAAATATATTATTAGTTTTATTTAATTTGATTATGAAATAATATGGCTATGTGACTTTAAATTTTTGTAAATGAGTTTAAAAACTTTTGTAACAAATTATAAATCAATTATTAGTAAATTTATTATAATATGATAAAACTTTGT